ATAATTGTTCCATACCTTTCGTTCGGTTTTATAGCTTCTTTTGAACCCGTACACATTTTATTAAATATCGTGTGTATAAATGTCCCATTTCGAAAAATTAGAAAACACATCAAAATTGCCATGTTTCTGTAGTTTGGCTTCAATTGGCTAAGAAACAGCTAAACTATAAGCAATCAAAAACATCAAATTATACTCGATATTATACGGTATTAATGTGACAAAGAAAACTGTTTACATTATCCATATAACACAAGAACTAAGTGCCACTTTTTTAATAGAGAAGAAAAAAGGAATCAAATATTGAAATAAAACTGGAAAAAGAAAAAAAAGAAAAAAGAAAAAGAACTTTTCGAAAAATTTATGAAAAATGTTTTGGCCATGTCTCAGGCGCGCGAGTAATTTTCTCATTCTTCCGATTACTAGCTAAGCTTCAAAATAGCAAACCTGAAAAAACTACAAACTATAAACTGAGAGAATATATAAACTGAAAGAGCAAACCTGTGAAAAAGGCGTCTTTTGCTAATTGAACCACATCAGTTGACTACCTCCATAATAGAAAATTTGATACCAAGAAGAAACTAACGAACTGAAGACTAGGAAACGAAGGAGTAAAATCACTGACAAGGAGCCTTGCGAGTTTTAGATCCAACAAAACTATATAGACAAAGCGCCTCAACGTCTCCTTTCTTGATTTGAACCACATTGACTACTCTAATGGAAAATTTGATAGCAAGAAGAAGAAGAAGAAGAAAAAAAAAAAAAACAAAAACAAAAACGAACGACAGAAGGAATGAAAGTGTAAAATCAACGAGAAGCTTTGTGAGTTTTAGATTTACAAACCTGTACATTCGACGAAAGGCGCCTATACGTCTTCTGAATTGAATTGAGCCACAAGGCTTTGACCAGCTTAATAATGGCAAATTTGATAGCAAAAAGAAACAAATGAAAAACTAGGAAATGAAAGAGTCAAAACAACAAGGATCTACTCGGGTTTTAGATTGAACCAGCCCGTAGTAAAGGCTCCTTTTGTGAATTGAGTTGAACCACATCAGTTGACTACATTCATGATGGAAAATTTGATACCAACAAGAAAGAAACAAACTAGGAAATGAAAGAATAAAATCAACGCGGATGTTTGCTGGTTTTAAATTGAACAAACCTGTCGAAAAGGCCCCTTTCAGTGGATTGAATTGAACCACATCAGTTGACTACCTTCATGATGGAAAATTTGATACCAACAAGAAAGAAACAAACTAGGAAATGAAAGAATAAAATCAGCTACGAACCTTTAGAAAGCCTTTCGTGAATCGGCTTGAACCCCGGCTTGAACCACCTTCAATATATGGATCACATTGACTTAAAAAAACTTTTTGGTTTTGTTAATTGATTATAATGAAACTTGTTTATTCTATGCACAGGGATTTCGCCTGATCGTCCTTTGGTAATTAGAATTATAGGATGTAATATCGACTGTGTGAAAGGTAGCGCTAATACCACACATTTACATGACATTAGGACGCCCGCGTCTCGTAACATAAACAGGATAATTGCTTTGTACTTGTCAGCCATGTTTCAAATGAACAGCTGCAGCAGGGTAATCTGGACTATCCAGGCCCTGTGTTAACCATAAAGTAATTATGATTGGCAGAAAGTCCGCCAAAAAAATAAATAAATAAATGATAATATATAAATAAAAATTAATAAACAGCTGCAACAGAGCACTCTATGCTATAAAGTTAATCATAAGGTGAGGACGACTAACAAGAAGTCCGCCAAACAAAATATAAATAATAATAACACTAATAATCAAATAATAATGATACAAGATATAGAAATATAAATAAGTTATAGTGCTTGGGAACGAGGTTATTCCGGGCGAAATACCTTTGGAAATAAATTCGTAAAAATTAATTTCCGACCTCGCACCCACCTTCGGCCTGCTCTCAGTCTGACCTCTAGCTCAGCTGGTAGAGCATCGGTAGTACAATTCCGAAGGTCGTGGGTGCGATTCCCAGCGAGGTCGGAAATTAATTTTTCCGAATTTATTTCCAAGGGTATTTCGCCCGGAATAACCTCGTTTCCAAGCACTATAACTTATCTATATCTTGTATTTCATAAGTGCTACGCGGTCCACATATTCTAATAAAAATATTATTATAATATAATAACAAGTTTGCTTCACATTGCACGAACAGTTAAGATTTTAAACTGAGCATTAGATAGCAGGAACTTGTGGGTAAATTGAACCACCGTAAAAAGCTTTATGAAACTGACGTTTCGTACGTTAGTTCTTCGTCGGAGTTTTTACTTTGTGAAACTGACGTTTCGGACGTTAGTCCTTCGTCGGAGTCCTTACTTTGTGAAACTGACGTTTCGGACGTTAGTCCTTCGTCGGAGTCCTTACTTTGTGAAACTGACGTTTCGGACGTTAGTCCTTCGTCGGAGTCTTTACTTTGTGAAACTAACGTTTCGGACGTTAGTCCTTCGTCAGAGTAAGGACTCAGACAAAGGACTAACGTCCGAAACGTCAGTTCCACAAAGCTTTTTACGGTGATCCAATATTTACCCACTTAAGTTCATGCTGTTTTATTCAGAAACACCGACGCAGTCCACGCTAGTACTCTACTAGTTATCACCACTCTTGAGCATTAGGATATATAGTTTACTAGTGTTTCATTCGAGTCGGTTGAACTATTTTAGTACGTATTGGGCCTGTAATTTGCAGCATTCATAGCTATTTCTTTACTAGTGTTTTTCACTTTCAGTGTTTTTTTTTCTTCTCCAATTTCCGAATTATTTTGAGTGCACTATATTTTTAGGAGTTTTTAGGGTTTTTTAGCCTGCTTGGTAGTTGGCTACGAATTCCGCCCAACTACCTTAAAGCTTAATAGGTCTGGGCATCCAGAAGTATATACTGCCATAATGATGATGATGATGATGATGATGATTTAAAAAAAAAAAAAAAATACAAGAATCTTTTTTTGGATGCCTGTGAACCATGAAGACGAAATAAAATTCGTTTCCTGCTGACGCAACATTTCAATAATGAATTTTCTTTCCCCTCACTGCAAGGGTTTTTTTATTCGACAGGTGAGTTTAGTGTTATGCGAATACAATAACGAACGTAGCGGTAGTGTGCGTGGGTTAAAGTGGGTAAAATTACCGAAAGTTCAGGTTGATATTTAATACTTTAAACCAAGGAAATTCTTTTAAGTATACAAAGAATAACAAATAATTTTAGTGCTTTTAGCAAACGAATTTACAGACGCACGAAACAATGCCTGTCACGTGCATTAACCAGTGATCTAATGCTTGGTATCAATCAGTGGAATGATTTCATGAATCTCATTAACAGCCTACTATGTTAAGAAAGACTGCATGCTGGCGAACATTGCCCATCATCATGTACTATCGACCACAGAGTATTCTATTGCTAGGCACCACATAGCTCGATGAATCTCGTAAATCTCATTATACTACCCTATAATGACATGCAAATGCTGTCCTTACTTTACGTTTTATCGACTTGAGCTAGAATAACTCTTCTCCTACTGGTAATCTATATTACAGTATAAGACAACATTACGACTTAAAACGGGAAAAAGGTTATAAGGTTTGTAAAATTGAAATCTGAACTCTGTATAATCCTTCCTATCTGTCTGTCTATCTATCTGTCATTAATTCTGTTGGTCTGACTGACTGATACGACGGGGTATGTGTGAATAGGAATGGGATGGAGGTGAGGGGGGGGG